AACGTGCAGCGACTAGGGGTACATGAATGGGGCTACATAAGCTACTGTTGCCATGCTCTTTATCAGGCCTACATTCAACTATTATCTGTGCTTCAAAGTACATTCTTCTGAGCGAAGCGTATTCCAAGAGCAGTTTTGGAAACCGAAGCAGTAGACCACATTTTCAATCATTCTGATAGTCAAGAACTGAATGAAACAGATTTGCTCTTTAAAATGACAATATCTGGTATCTATTAAGAGAATACTTATAAAATGGAGTCCGAAACTTGTTAAGAGGTCCAGCATTTATATTCATTGGGTAGAGATGGAGGATTTGAATACAAATGTTAAGGATTTAATTTCTGCCTGAAATGGTTAACTTGCCTGTTTGCTCGATGTCCCCACGCAAATAGATTTAGTTGAAAATGCTTGTAGCCCTCCAAAATAATTCCAGATTTCTATTCAACAGAAAGAGCAATTAAATACTTGGTCGGCGCAAAGGTATCTGCTTCTTTGTAAAATTCGTGCATGTTGTTGTATTTCAGCACAGGGAACTAGTTAAATCATATTACTATCAAAGTAGTCATCAAACTTAAGATACGTTATGCTTAACTTTCGATTCAAGACTAACAGCTTATAGTTGCATACTCATTAAAGTAAACGAGTTCTTCATATTCATTTTCTTTTTAAACTCACCGGTTCAACATTCAGGGTAAATTCAAGATCTTGCTTTGGTTCACCAATGAAGTTAATTTTGTCACGGACTTCCACAGCGGCTTTGTTGAAGTAAGGCAGGGAAAGGAAAAGCGGAACCCTGCGTTTCTTCTTGAAGATGCAGTTGGAGATGTCAAATACCCCTGCCGGCGGAGGCTTCGGTCCAAGGGTTTCATTTACGTGAAAATCGGCATTTGGTGGATAGTCTCGAGCACTGTGAAAGGTTTCGGCTGATGGGCCAAGTTCATACAACTATGATAAAGGAAGATGTTTCCATTTTGATAAGGGGATATATCGAGAGCTAGTTGCTGTATCGACAGCAGATGGATTCCAAAATGAAGAGTCAGGCAAGACAGAGTTGAGAGGAACAGCTTTAATGAGCAAAAGTGGCCTTAGAATAACTGATGCAAGCGCCGTGTACAAAAGGTCGTCGCGTAGGTGAAAAAAGAGGAAGTGCC